AGGATAGGGACAGTAGGCACGTTGGTGCGCTTATGCACGCCCCTGATATTGTTTAGCCTATGCAGTCAGATGGATGTCCAGATAAGTGCCCTTGACCAACCTGCCCCCATCCAGCCTGATATATGCATTGATCCCCAAACATTAGATACAATGCTGCCTGTGGAAATTTTCTAGGTATCCATTCCTTCTCACTTGCCCTGGCCACCTGTACTTTCTGATTGCTGAGAGGATTTCTCTCCCTTTTAGTACTTAGAATCACACAGCAACTATTTAGAGATAAAAGGCCATTAGGAAGTATACTTAAGTGACCTAAGGAAAAGAGAAAGAATAGCTTGGAGGTTCTGTTTTTCAATGGAACTGTGAAAATTGGTTCAAAAATTAGAAATAGCTTTTGACTTTTTTCTTGACTTAAAATTACTGATTTGGAGAGCAAAGTTAGCTCGCAGTTTGCTCTTCCTGTAGCAATTGACTAATGCTGCTAGATACTTGTTCTTTCTTAATAAACAAAGTTGATAGAAAGGAAAGACAATTGATCACATTGACTAATTTGAGTCTGCTAAATAGGGACCAGAAGTTATTATAGTGCTAATTCAGTAATGTTTCAAGCTGAATTGTTCAAAAAATAAACAATTGTTTTTCCTAATCCTTTTTCAGAGATTCTCAAACTTATTTTGTTCACTGTCAACATTAATATATTGAAAATAAAGATTAAAGATTACAACAGTTTATTGGAGGAAAGGTTGTTACTGTACATGCATAGCCTATTATTTTGTAATATGTTTTTCTTCAGAGACATCATCATCATCAAATATAGGTCAGGCCCTTATTAATTTCTCTTCAGTCATCTCACATTCATTTTATAAGTTCAAGGACAAAGATAGACTCTTTATTATCCTGCAAATTCATTGGGGCCCCTTGTCTTGAACTCACAAATCATTGGAAAGTATGTATGCATTATGGCAGTTCTCTTTAGCGACAGTGAAATTACATTATGATGTACAGCTTCCAAGTTTGTTCTTATTAATGAACCCATGCTGTATATTGAGAAAAAGTATGTCCATCACATACTTGAAAAGGCAAAAGTTTTACTTTTGAGGCATGCCACAAAATCCTGGTAGGCCAGAATGTGTGAATATATATGTAGGTCACTTATGGCCTGATGAATATGTCTTTAGTATGTGTGCAATACAGCTTTTCTTATGCACTATTCAGTAACCTGATTGATTCAAATAAATCATGGGTTGCTATTTGTATTTTAATGGCTATCTGGAGTCACTTAATTGCTCAATTATCAGATAATGCAAGACAAGGGTTCTTTCTTCTTTAAAATTGAATGTGAATTTATTATATTCTCCATAAATGTTGAGCTTTGGAGCCAGTGGCACTATTAGTACAGATTTCAATGTAGGGCACTAAAAGGCAAAAACAAAAGAAGCCAAATCAGAAACACAAATATAATTATCCTCTGTGGTTTCTTTTCTTTTTAATGCATCATCAGAGTCATAACCATTTGTAAGGCATTAAGTACAAAAGCATTAAAAACAATATAAAAGCATTTGAAAATGATGCCTGACTGTGATAGACAACACTTCCAAGTGAAATGCAGAACTATAATTTATGTTTTCATTTCAAACATTTTATCATAGTCTTTTTCAAGTTAAAGGATAGAAGATATCTTCTTTGGGATCATGCCCAGGAAATCAAAGGTGAAATTATGTAAGTTAAATGACCGATCGTCATTCATCAACGTTTAGTTTAATTTAGTTTAATTTAGTTTAGTTTAGTTTATTGTCATTGCACCTTATACAACTAAACCAAACACCAGTGCACATCATGACCATGACCTAAAACATAAAAATTTATTATGTTATATTGATAACATGTTATATTATCAACATGTTGTTGAAATATTTTTGCAACTTCATATTTTTAATGGACTAGGCAACTAATTAACAACTAGTGTCTCCAGTATAAGAAAAATGGTATCATGAAAAAGCAGCAGAGACTATACCCATTATAAGTAATCTTAGCAAGAATTTTCTTTGATAGATAGGAGATTGATTGAATTGCTGATTTGAGCAGATTTTCTTTTATATAGATCAATCATTTTGGATGAAAAAATTAGAAAGTCAGGTGCAAAACAAAAATCTATCTGTTTTTCTCATATTTACATAATTTCACATAGAGAAGCATTGAAGCATGAAGTATTAAAAAAATGTGTTGAATTCCATTTAAAAAATGAATTAACACTCATGCTCCATCCCAGCTATAAAGTTGCTTAATATTTTATGAAGTATATGTACTTTGTGACAAGGAAAAAGGAGTATTGATTTACTGAATAGGAAGAAGATGCATGACTATTACAAACTATTTGTTTATTTTATGAAAAATGGCTCAGAAAAACTGAATCTTTAATGGCGTTCAGGACTAGCATGCAGGTTGCTATGGTGCATCATTTGAAAGCATCACAGATGAAAATAACACACGCAACTACTTTGCTCTATATGGTACATAACCTAACTGGATTGCACCTATTTTCTAATAACATTAGAAAATGCTCAAGAGTTTTCAACTTAATTAATTCCCATTGTTTCTTGATACTCCAGACTTGTTAATGGTGTCATATTAGAGTTAGACTAACAAGCAATATCTTAAATTTGTACCTTTTTGTACCTACCCCATGCAAGGCAAGATGGGCTACAAATAAAAGTAACAAATACATAAATAAAATATCAAGCAATAATTTTCATCTTATCTTACTTATTGATAATTCCTGCAACAGGTATGGGTAGAGTTTGAATAATACATATGCCATGATAACAGGAAAACATTTCTAGATCAAAACTCAATATTTCTTCTAAAGTCTCATATATAGAGATTGAAAAAAAATGCTGTCCAAGACTCCAGGGAAGTACAGTTAATTACTGATTGAATAATCCAATTATCCAATTTATTGAAACAGCCAGGAACTGCAGAGCTTTCATTTTTCAGCAATCCAACTAGAAAAATCATTCTCCACCACCACCACCACCATCATCATCATCAACATCATCATTTCAGTACTGCTCCACAGTCAGAAAGGAGGGAAAGAAGAAATGGAAGAACATAAAAATGAATATTTAATGATAGAAAATCTGAGAATGTTCACACATAGAATACTTTTTTGAATTGTTAATAATCCACTACTCATGTGGAATAATATAGTGTTCTATTGTGATTTCTTTTTCAATAGTTTATGTGGAAAATGTTATTATAATATATCTTAACTCCATCTGCAGAGAAAAATAGTAGTTCACGGCTACTATAACGTTAGTCACTACTTGCACTAGTGACGCAGGGAGGAGGAAGAGGAGGAGTGAGGAGGAGGAGGAGGAGGAGGAGTTAAGGGATGAATGAGCCATTAAGGGAGAAAAGGCTCAAAACAGATTCCTCAGTCTCAGAAAGAGACATGAGAAACTCAAAATGATTCTGCTTTGATTTTGTTTGACATAACATGTAATAGAAAGAAACTTACAGGCTTTCAAGATTCTCTAATTATATCATACAATAACAAAAAAATTAGTATTTCCCAAGCTGCTGAGGCTCCTGTTTCCTGTTTTGCTGAAGCCTTGCTGACTTCAAAAGGCTGACAAGACATTGCTCTAAATTTTGTCCCATTCCCTTTCCCCAAAAAACTTGCAAAATGATGTTCCATATTTCTTTGTGGAAATATGGAATGAAAATTTTCAAGCTGGCATTTTAATTTGATCATATGCAGACTACCTTCCATAATTTCCCCCAAAATTACTCAGTAGAGTTATTTAATATTCAGTTGCACATGCATATATGACTTCACCTTAATTATTCTTAAGTGATAATTGATCATTTTGTTGGCTGCTGCAAAAAGATCACAAAGATTTATTGCAAACAACAGTAGCAACTGATTTCATGAAAAAGCAGCAACAATGGTGCATTGAAATACCTGCAAAAAATACTACTTTCCTTCAACCCCCCTGATGGGGCCTCAAAATAGACAAAACAATAAAAAAACAAAGAAATTAAAGTGTTCCTGGGCTTTAGAATTCAAATATGCAAACATCTGCCATACAACCTATCAATTTTCAATATCACATCACATCAAAAAAAGTCTGGATCGTGGATATCTGGGATACCAGAATAGAAGAGAAAGAACTAGAGAAAGTCACAAAATATAAAGACTTGTACATAGAAGTAGAACAGCTGTGTCAAAAGAAATCAGAGAGAGTACCAATAGTAATAAGTCCCTTGGGTTCAATTCCAAAACTTCTGGAACACCACTTGAACACTACTGGCATTGACAAAGTCACCATCAGTCCATGTCAAAAGATAGCTTCACTCTGGACAGCTTACACCCTTCACTCTGGACAGTTTACACCCCAAATTATTAAGCCACGACAGCATTGATCTTTGGGAAGGACTCAACAGGTAGACAACAGGGTCAAATCCGATCTAAACATCTGGCTAACTATGCAATCAACTATAAGGAATATAGAATCTAAGGCATTTGGAGGGCATAGGTTTGGGGAATATTAATCTAGATTATCTCTATTAATAGCCCAAATCAGATATTACTAAAAAGATACAACTCACTATGTGTGTAGCATTGACCAGTGAATACTTGGAGACATACATATGGAGGCTTTACATAGGCTATAGTCCTAAAAGGCTAATATTAAAGATTGTGTGGAAGACTTTGCAGCTATAGTTCTCAACATGAAACTACAGACAACTCTGTTGTTCTTATGGATATTGGCTCTTTTTGATATTGCCAGCATGATTTTACAGAGTATATATAATAGCCTGTAAAATTAGACCACATTATGCGATTTCCCTTCTTTTTAAATGTTAATGATAACTCTCCATGTCTAATGTTTTATACATTACATTATTATTATTATATATTTAAGCATTGTGATGATTGCATGCCCTAAATAGAATCAGCTGTGCATATATATGGAAATAGACCTTAACAGATTTCACAGATATTTAAAGCCGATCCTCACCCATGCTGGCCCACCACTTACTACCACTTTACCAGAATGGTGTAATCCTGTAGCCAGGTTGCTGACTAGCCCTAGAGCCTATGAGGTAAGTGTACAATTTCATATGCACAATGTTTCAAAATTTTTGACAAAATGTATTATATTATAGCTTTCACTATATGTGATGTTAATACCTAGAGTTTTGTCCTCCAATTAATATCATATGGGATCTTTCCTGTGTATTTTCCAGTCTAAAAGATTTAGTTCTGATTCTGGTTTTTCTGGTCATCTTGCATGACAAAACTGATATTTTCAAACTGAATTAAAGGGACACTCAGAATGGAAATATATTATGACACATATAAAGTAACTCTATTTCATTATTTTATGATTAAAGTTTCTTTCAGATCCAGCTCAAGTTATCAAGCTATGATAACTTTTAAAATACTGTTTTAAACTCTTGGCTTTTTCAGTAGCGTACCATTTTAAAAATAATGTGAAAAACAGGTGACACCAGTGATGGGATTCAAAAAAATTTACTATTGGTTCTGTGGGGGTGGCTTGGTGGGAGTGGCAGGGGAAGGATACTGTAAAATATCCAGTCAGAGGTGGTATTTGCCGGTTCGCCTAACTACTCAAAATTTCTGCTACCAGTTCTCCAGAACTGGTCAGAACCTGCTGAATACCAGCTCTGGGTGACATCCATGGAAATGAATGTTCAATGTAATAGAAAAGCTTGAAACCAGAACCATCTTGTTCCTTTCATCTGTTTTTAGAGTTGCTTTTAATGGGTTAATATTCTTTTGAAAATCAAGGTTAGTAGAAGAATCTAGCATGAGTACTTTTTACCTGCAAAGCCTTAAACCATACCTGATTTGTGGAGTAAATTTGGATTTTTATAAAGTAGGAACCATCCTTGTCCAACCTGGGCAACCTTGGAGATTATCAGCTGGGGAGGGCTGCACAGTGAATTCCTAATTTATGGAATTTTCTCTCTGCCACTCTATCAATCAATACAGAGTATTGTACAGGAAGAGTATTCTTAATTTATGGAATCTTCTGTCTGCCACTCCATCAATCAATATAGCCTCAACAACACTCTTACTAGTTTCAATTAGCCATAACATCATACCTTGTACTCAGAACGTAATATATTTTTAAGTGAGACATGAGTTTTATATACCAGTGTGCATGTAGAGTTTCTAGATTGAAATCTTCCCTATGCACTTCAGTAAGAAAAGCAGCTTGATTTGCACCTATCGCCAACCACTGGAGATTCAGCATTTTGAAATGATTAGTTAGATCTCTTTTATGCAGGAGTCCCTCTTCTACTACTTCAATAGGGGCAACATTTTTCAGTCAACAGCCATATTGTTCCCAGAATAATCTCTGGAATGCACATGTTGAATGAGCCAATATAAGTAGCAGAGATGGCTTGAGCCAAATTAAATTTTGTCATACTGACCCCTTTGTCTCTTCATCTATTTCTCCATCTCATTAGCTATCTTTATTTGACAGTATATCTCTAACTTTCTCTTTTCCAAACAGCACATTATGTAGAAGGAACATAAGGTTTTTAGCAGACAAGTAATCTTATGGAGATCTTTTCAAATTAGACTCAAAGATGGAATCTTTGAATTCTACACATTTCTGATCAGTATAGATTGGTGCATGTGCATTGCTTCCTTGGGGACAAGAAGCTTCAGGAGACAATTTATAAAAATTGTCACCTGATAGTGAAATACATGCAATATTAATTTAATAAATAAGAATAAATAAATATTCATTTATACAAAGTAAATATTTATTATTTTTCAAATAACATTAAAATTAGATGTGTCATTATAAACTTAAGAAATAGGGATATCTATTTAGTATAGAGAATTGCTTCACATTTATGCCATTAATAAGTAAACATTATTTCTTTGGTTTCTCTATTCTTTATCACAAAAATGCCTAGGAGCAACTGAAGGATGAAGATGGGGACTTTATTGTGAATAATGATGAACTGACCCTGAATTATGATGCTTCAGACCACTTTCCTGTGCCAACTCAGAACAGAACAGAGTCATCTCATTCTGCTGGCAAAGAAAACATCCATGATGGTGACCTTGGCTTAGGGGGATGTGAACTCCACTCCAAACCTGCTTCAGGTCAATCTGAGTTTGCTTCCTCAGCCTGATGTCCATTAGAAAATACAGTATATGCTACAAATATCAGAAGCAGAAGAAAAGTACATTTATTTTGCAGAATTAGCAACAAGGACATGATCAGAAAAGAAGCAAGACTTTGCTGAATCTCTCCCTAGAGTTCAGAAGAATGAGAATTGTTTAATAATTCATAAACATTCTATTACTACACTTAATTTTTCTGATAGTGGCCATTTTAACAATGAAAACAAAGGCATCCTCTGTCTATTATTGGGACATTGCATATATGCTTATGGGCTGTGTGGATCATGCTTGTTTGCACATGCACAAAACCTTTTGAATTTTTTCCCTTAATTATTCAGGAAGAGAGAATGAGAATTTAGTGAACTAATATATGCTTCCAAAATCACAGATATATCAGTATCATATATCTCTTCCCGTGTAGAACTTTTTCAATAAGATGGAAATTTCTGAAGTACAAGCCATAATTCCAGCAAGTGGCAAAATAATGGTTTCCTATACTGTATGGTAGTCTGACAGCAAATGGTCCACCATAACTGCTTGTTAATATTTGAGCTGCTGAAATTTAAACATATCAATAACAGAGACCTTAATTTTACCATATTAGAGCATGATTGTTAGTATAAATAGCAATTTTACTTCCTCCCCCAATTCATTCTCTGCCACTCCTATGCAACAGATTCATAATGCAAATACTGTGTGCTGACTTTCTTCAGATTTACTGATATTCTATGTTTATACCTAGAATCTGACAGGGCAAAGTACATGAGTATCACATTCAAGATTTCTAAAATAATGTCTGCTATATTTCTGCTCATTTCCTAAACAGTAAGAAATGAGAGAGAGAGAATTGTGGGAGAAAATGTCAGCGGAATCATCCATTATAAACACAAGTACTTATAATATCAGGAAAGTTGATGACAGTTGTCCAATTTTTTTCACCTGAAGGTAGTGCTCCATAGCTTTATATATTAGAGACTGACCTCTTGAAGAGCTCCAGTATGGACAGAATCTCCTGGTTGCACTTGCAATCATTTCATATCCAAATAAAACTGCCTTATAGTTAGTCCATTTGGTCCATCTACTCCAGTTGCTTCTTTAGCTGCCAGAAGCACTCTGGTGTTTTAGTCCTGCCTAGAAATTGATTGAAAGTGAAATATTTTGCATGTAATGTATATTTTATTTCTGAATTACTGCCTTCTGCAGCCATCCATGACCATACCACATTTTCATCTTAATGCTCAGTATAGTGTAGCACTTAGCATATATTCTGGGTTACTTAGAACTCCTTGTGCAGTCTGATGGGGGAAATTACTTTTAAATGTTTGCAATTCCAGTAAATGCTCATGAGTAGTTGAGTTGAGATTCTTGCATGTATTTTTGTGGTGTGGTGGCTGAAATGAAGATGTGATAATTCTTATTTTTCCTTGCATACTTATCTCTCCAACAAGAACTTTTTCAGATTAAAAAGCCTGAGCAACCAAGGAACTTACAAAATGATAAGAGATGCCTACCAGAAAACAACACCATCAACCACTTCATAACAGTAAATTAAGCTCAAAAAACTGCCTGAAGAATTCCAACTTACACTTAGAATGAAATGGAAAAGTAAACATCACCTTGACAGAAAATGAAACCTTTCTGAATATTGACAAACCAATTTTGACCACAGTATTAACTCAGTATCTGCTAAAGTAGAAAATGGTTGCAGAATTACAGAAAGTCTGTAGAAAAATTTAGGAAGAACTGCTATTTCTGTTTTTTGAGTTCTGGGAGCATGTGATTTGTTACCTTCAAGATCTACTATTTCTGTCCTTCCACTTAAAGAGAAAGTGTATAACATAAATAATACATAAGTTCAAGTATTGCATTGTTCTATTATTTGGTTCATACAGCATATTTATTCAGGTTCTTCAAAACTCATGTTTCAAATAGATTTTACAAAATCAGAATCCAAGCGTTGAGAAATGCCAAGAATCCATCTAAGTTATGGCCTTCATCTTTCATACTGTACGTCATCTGTAAGATTTTTTTTATCATATACATGACTTTAGTAAGATGAGGACTGTTATGTTTTGGGAACCGGTTGGGGCTCCAACCGGGTCCGCTCTTTGAGCAGATTCAACAACCGTTCCTATTGGCTGGCGCCGTTTGACAGCCGGCATATAAAAAGCCGGCTGTCAAGCCAAGCCAGCCGTTGTTCGCACGCGAGTCTGCCCATTCACCGGCAGACGTGACAACCACCGTTCATCAAATAAACATTGTTAACCGTATGCCCTGGTCTAGCCTCTCCTTTCCTTCGAACTACAACACTGGCGACGAGGGTGGGATCGGAAGGCTAGTCAGGAGCATTTCCTCAAGGAACGGAAGCCGCAGCCGTTTGGTTTACTGAGCAAGCCGCAGCCGCTTGGATTACCGAGCATCGGGCTCAGAAGTGAAAGTGCTAGAGCCGCTCAGGTTAGATCTGCCGCGGTTAGCGAAGGCTGGGTGCTGTCAGTAAAAGTTGCAAAGGTTAGAGCACCACAGATAGTGAGAGTCGGGCGCTGAAGCCGCAGCCGCCCGCGCGCGCAGAAAAAGGGCGCGAAAATTCTAACGGCTGTCATTGAGCTGCAGCCACTAGAGCAAGCTACGGCGCTGAGAGCCTCAGCCGCCTCAATTACAAAAAGGGCGCAAATTACAATAGAGGTCACTACAGAAGCCACCAAGTGAAATTGCGAGCGCCTCAGCCGCCTCCCCCCCCCCAAAAAAAATAAATAAATAAAAAAGGCTCGAATTTTAAAGCGCTGTCAGTACAGCACCGCAGCCACAGCCGCCTAACGCTCGCAAAAGAGCGCGAAAATTCAAGCGCCTCAGGAAAGCCGAAGTCATTGAGTGAGATTAGGGCACTGTAGCCACAGCCGCCAACGCTCTCAAGCAGCATCAATCCAAGACCACGAGCACCCAGTGAGGCAGACCAGTCTACCAAGAGACTGAGGGGTCCAAAATGAATGTCAATTCAGTATTCCCCCCTTTCAAACCTGATGAGGAAAAGTGGGATTCGTATAAGAATCGCTTCAACCACTTTATCGATGCCATTGGACTGGCTGAAGTTTCGGAGCAGAGGAAGAAATCCTACTTCCTCAGCTACTGTGGGGCTGTAGTATACGACACCGCCACAGCACTCCTGGCCCCACGAGAAATCGGGAATGTCCCATGGGCAGAGTTGGTGGAAACGCTATCCAACCACTACTCACCAAAACCGTCTCAGATTGCTAGGCGCTTCGCCTTTAGGATGAGGAAGCAAGCCGAGGGGGAATCCATAAATCAATATATGGCAGCCCTGAGGACAGCAGCTCTACAATGTGAGTTCAAGAACTATTTGGACGACATGCTGCTCGACCAACTCGTTTGTGGGGTGAGGGATCTAAAACTCCAGAGGCGTTTGCTGGCTAGAAGAGACCTAAACCTCCCCCAGGCAGTTGAAGAAGCCTTAGCTGCAGAACTTGCAGCACAGTCCGCAGCTGAGATCCAGGGCACCGCTTCCAGACCCAGCACTTCCTCCGTACACTCTGAAGTAGCGGTAAGTGAGGATGACCCTGCAGAATACTCCGATGTGCATCGCCTCAAGCCAACGAGACAGCCGCAGGTAGGAGCGAGGCCAAGAAACAACAGTGGCCCAAAACAAACTCTTTTATGCCTGACCTGTGGAGGTTCCCATTCCCGGGCATCTTGCAGGTTCAGAAACGCCACCTGCCACAACTGCCACAAGAAAGGTCACCTCGCAAGAGTCTGCCAGGCAGCGCGCACCTCTCCACAAAGATCCCCTTCCTCTCCTGTTCCCCGAAGGAAGGTAGAAAAATGCCATACTTGCTACCAAGCCAACCACACACTTTACACCCCCAATAAAATTACACTTTCTGTCTTACTAGAAGGTAATCCCTGCCGCATGGAGGTAGACACGGGGTCAGCGCTCTCAATCATATCTTGGGACACGCTTAAGAAGATCCAGCCCAGACTGACAAAGAACCAGCTGCAAAAGTGCCATCTCACCTTGAGAGACTACCAAGGAAAGAACATCCCCGTCCTCGGGAAAGGCAAGTTTCTCGTGAAATTCCAAACCTTTAAAGGCCATTTGCCTTTAGTGGTTGTTAATGGTACCCTCCCTAGTCTTTTGGGGTTGGATTGGTTCCCCTCTCTCGGCCTTAGTATAAAAGGAGTCCATGCTGTCTCAACTTCTGATGTTGACTCCTTATTTACAGACTTCTCTGACGTTTTTAGTAGTGAGTTAGGCTGCTATAAGGGCACTCCCATCTCCTTCTCAGTAGACCCACAGGCAGTCCCCGTTCGCTTAAAACCACGTAGAGTACCTTTCGCCATCCGCCCCAAATTGGACGCGGAACTAGACAAACTACTAAAACAAGGGGTGATAGAACCCACAGATTTCGCTAAGTGGGAGACCCCAATAGTCACCCCGCTAAAAAAAGACGGTAATCTAAGAATTTGTGCTGACTACAAGACGTCAATCAACCGTTATCTACAGGTTAGCGCCTATCCAGTCCCGGTCATTCAGCACCTGTTACACACATTTGAACCTGGCACCATTTTCGCCAAACTGGACATGTCACAGGCATACCAAGAGTTCCCCGTGGATAACCAAACAGCTGACTTACAGACCATAGTTACACACAGAGGGGCATTCAGATGTAAGCGTCTCCAGTTTGGCGTAAGTGTAGCCCCAGGTATTTTCCAATCACTGATGGAGCGAATCCTCCAAGGTCTCCCCGGCGTAGTGCCATATTTCGATGACATCTTAGTCACAGCCAGGGACAGACCCCAACTCATCCAGAGAGTCAGGGCAGTATTAGAGAAGTTCAGGCAGCATGGCCTCAAACTAAAACGGGAGAAGTGTACCATCGCCACTAGACAGGTGGACTTTCTAGGCTACAGGCTAGACGCCTCAGGCATCCACCCGGTGGAATCGAAAGTCAAGGCCATCCACGAGGCGCCCACGCCTACCAACAAAACCGAGTTACAAGCCTTCCTGGGGTTATTGAACTTCTACGCTTCGTTTCTCCCACACAAGGCGTCAGTTGCGGAGCCATTGCACAGACTCTTAGACAGAAACACACCATGGCACTGGGGACCCAAAGAAAACCAAGCATTTGTGGCAGTCAAATCTCTACTCACCTCTGAGGCTGTCTTAATACAATTTGACCAATGCCTTCCTTTGGTCCTAGCCGCAGACGCATCCACTTTTGGGATAGGAGCTGTCTTAAGTCACAGGCTCCCCAATGGCTCCGAGGCACCAATTGCCTTCTTTTCAAGAACCCTTTCAGCGACTGAGCGTAATTACAGCCAGGTTGATAAGGAGGCCTTGGCTGCAGTAGCAGCAGTCAAAAAATTCCACGAATTTCTATTCGGACACCAATTCGAACTTATTACTGATCACAAGCCGCTTTTAGGATTATTATCAGGGGAAAAGCAAACCCCGCAGATATTGTCGCCTAGAATGACCAGATGGACCTTATTCCTGGCAGCTTACTCGTACAAACTGGTCTATCGTCCCGGTAAAAATCTAAACCATGCTGATGCCCTCAGCCGCTGCCCCTTGCCAGCCCCAGTCGAGGACCCAGCTCCTGTGCATGCCATTTTTGATGTAAACGAACTCAAGCTGCCGGTGACTGCAGACGACATAGCATCACATTCCAAGAAGGACAGAACAATCGCCCAGGTTCTGGACTGGGTAGGGAGGGGGTGGCCGGAAACTAACTATTCAGTTGATTTCGCCCCATTTAAAACTCGCCAGCTAGAGCTCTCTAAGTTGCAGGGATGCCTATTGTGGGGTACCAGAGTGGTCATACCAACCACCCTTCGCATACCCGTCTTGAAGATGCTGCACGAGGGCCATCCAGGAATTGTGCGGATGAAGGCGTTAGCTCGAAGTTACGTCTGGTGGCCCGGGATGGACGATCAGATCGCCAAGTGGGTAAGCTCGTGTCGACCCTGTCAGGAATCTAGGGCAGCCCCGCCAACCGCCACACCCACAAAGTGGGAAAGTGCCAATGCCCCGTGGTCATGGCTT